TGCTGGAAGTTGTACTTAAAACCCCTTAGTTGGATAAGTCTTAGTCGCAACTGGAAAATCCGAGCGGGTAATGGATTGATGTAAAAAAGAAAAGTGAATTGAAAATAAACAATAACGATCATCGTCCAGAGCCAATAAATAAAAACGTTCATGGTTGAATTAAAAATACACATATAATTGACATATGTAGATGATTGCAAGTCTGAATACTTGCGAAACTAACTTGTAATATATGAAACCAGCAGAAGAAGAAAGTGAAGTCGGAACTTTGAATGGTACTACTAAACCCGGATAGAGAGCTCTGTATTTACAGTATTTTTAATCTTTTCAATCGTATAATATTCAGGCTTTTAGACGTAAAACGCATATTGAAACAGCGGAAGGCAATTACAAGTTTAAATTGAAAAAGCCACAGATATCATTCTAAAAATTCAGAATTTTCCAAACAATTGTTTTTCAAAAACAGAGTCTAGCCAAAAATTAACGATATAAAAATTAAAAGTTAATGAGAAAGCAAATAGTGCATTGCCAATAAAAAAGCAATTTATAATTTACCAGTAGTAATATTTGACATTGTTTATGATCTAACGAGTAAATGCAAGATATGGATAAAGAAGCAACTAAAAATATTATCCAGGGCTCTTAGTTCCAAAATCGAATAGCAGACTTGGAAAAATTGTAAGTAAGAGCCCACAGCCAGTAGCTCTATGCATAAAATATACTATGACGATTTCGTTGCAATAGAATCAATGAAGATGAAGAAGCTCCACCAAATGCTTTAAATGCCGGCCCGCTAGAAAGAAGAAGTAAAACGTAAAAGTGTTCGACTAAGTAAATTAGCGAAGAAAATGAGCAACTATATTTGGAAAATATTGTTCTGATTAAATGAAAGAAAAACTGAATTTTCAAGAAGATTTAGAAGTAGAGTATTTAATGGGATGAAATTGCAACACCATTACAAGCTTGAAGTATTGACATATTAAATTTTCACATAAAACAACGAAATTTGCAGCTTCAATACATTCACCTGGACTATTCGAAAAATATTCCCAAATTTCTTCTGCACTCGTTTGAATTAATAATAGGCAAATTTATTTCGATAATATATTATTAAGTATTTTGCATAATCCTGTATTTTATGAATCACTAATTGGCTCAAAACCAAGCTATTTTGTAACATTTCATAAGCAAAATAATACGCAAAAACTAAGAGTTATATTAGCATTTACATATATGTTATTCAAATTATGCTTAAATAATACCATTAATAATGTTTGTCTCTTTTGAATGAGATATTATTCAAATTGTAAGCCGGCAATTAATAAATAGTAATTAATAGTGGAATTATTTAATGAATTAATTCATGTATCTGGGATTTGCTTTCGTTGGAAGACCAGTTAATCAATCACAAGCGATTGAACCTGTATGATTTTATTAATCAATTAATGTTTGAATGCCAAAGAAGCAATTTAAGCCTCCCTGAAAAATAGATAAAATATTTATATTTTTTATCGCAATTTGCTTAGCTCAATTTTATTGAGAAAGAGAGGCAGCGCCAATATGGTCATAATTTCTTTACTACTGTTCATAATCCGTTGTGGTGGAGTATGCATCAATAAAAATAAATGAAGGCAAATAAGGAAGGCACTGACAAATGGCAAATAATTTTAGCGGCAAAATTGGTACTAACTCTCTCTCTAATTTTACATCTCAAGACAGCCGCATCGAAATTGCAGTAAATTATAGTCTGATTAAAGCAAAAAAAAATGCTGCTTTTCATTTTACGTGCTGCGAGTGGGAAATGAGCATGTCCTTTTTGAGTAAACTTGTAATATGTAAATATGGTTGCTTAACTAAGAATATTAGCGGGCGCATTTGATTAGGTCAATGATATCAAGCTATAACTGCCTGAGTTGTAAATATTATCTAGTATTATAATATCCTTGAATAAGCTGCGGGTTGAAATAGGTCATAAAAGCAAGAGGATCTCATAGAAAAATTGCCATATTCACGGCGTCAAAAAGAAATTTAACATCAGATTATAACTTTAAATTTTATATCTTTGTCATCATCATCATCATTATATTTAATTCGACCGCTGTCGTCCGTACTGTCAGTTCCTTCAGTTTCATTATTGTCGTCTTCGACATATTTGTTGATTAAATAGGCATAAAGAATCCATAAATAACTTAAAAATATAATAATTTTCCATTTTCTAAAAGATTCAAACTAAAAAATAGGTCGGCCTTAAAACACAGATTTTCATATCTCAATCATTTGTGTTTCCTTGTCCTACACCTTAAAAGCAACATCATTATTTTGAACGTGTACGTATTCTAATGAAAATGTTCCGTTGTTTGAAAATATATTTCAACATGTCGTTGTTGCTAAACATTTTATGAATATTTAGTTTTTATTTTTTCCATTCATTTTGCTGTGAAAATTTAGAATAAGATGCTGACCTCCAATGCGTTTATGAAATTAATTTTATTTAACCGTACCAAACCACTTTTGAAACAATTGCTAATAGGTATACTTATTGTTAATTCCTTGACTGACTGTCCTACATAATTGCATGTACAAATCCTTTCCCTGACAATGTAAACATGAATTATTACAGCAAGCAGCAAGAAAATTGTTTGAATTGACAAAACATTTTCACTATTTAAAATAAACTTTATAGATTCTTCTTCTGCATCTAGGATACATATTTTAATAATTCTAGATAAGAAAACGCTGCAATCGTTGCGGTTCCTGCGGGGATTAATATTTGATTAACTTTTTTTTTTAATTCAGCACTATTAAGCAATTTCAAGGTGACATGTAAAACAGTAACTCTTATAAAATAGGTGCACAATTTTCTTCACAGAGCAAAGCCCAAGTAGTTACTCATAACTGTTAAAAATAATTAACCAAAATTCAAAACCCCACCGTAAAATCCAATAAGTAAATAAATACAAAGGCACAAAGGTAAATTTTCAAATTACGTGTCTGAACCAAATCGAATCGATAACCCAATATAGAAATTAGTACAAATTTGTTCCCAGCCAAAGAACGCAGACACCACTATAATAAAAGAACATTTTTTGTTTTTTTTTTCTTTCACATTATAGCACAGATCTAAATAGTGCGGTAGTAGCTTGCTTAGCGAATCGAGACTAATCGATTCGGCTTTTTGGTGATATTTAATAGTGCAGGTTTTTATTGTCAATTTCCCAAACATTATCTTAGAAATTAACAATTAAATGTTTAGCTCAGGCAATAAACTGTAGCGTTTTCTCCAGGCGATGACCATTAAAATGTTTAATTTCAATATTTAGTCGCAGCAAATATTTTCGACGGAAACGTCATAAAAAAAACATGTTTACTATGTATTCTGTTTGATTTTTAAATTATACCGTTAACTTAACAAATGGATATTGGTAAATGCATTAGGTGTGCAGTGTTACTGATACCATTTACAACCCATAGTAATGATATTCAAGAATGATTGCTTATGAAAATGAAGAAATGCTTCAAGATGTGTTATTGTGCTTCATTAGTGTTGTTTGTAATGTTGATTAGGTAGTAAAAAAACCACTTTACAAGTGAATGTTTTATGCTCATTTGGTTTTAGAGAGCGAAAAGTGCCTAAACAATACTTGTTTTCTTTACGCGTTGAAAACCAATAAAAAATACATTTATTAAGAATCTATTATAACATGAAATTAATTATTTTAATTGGTGCAAATTGGAATGTAGGCTAATCTGAAAACGAACTATTATAATGCAGTTACAATGCGTTTTCTCCAACGGTTTGGATTAGATTGGACTATTTTGTTATGGGGTTAATCGACTTATTATCAACATTTGCCACCATTTTCTCATTGTAGCCATAAATTTTAGTAGCAATTTTTTAATTTATTTCACCTAAGGTGAAATATTGCTAAGCCAAATTTTTTAAAAGTGAATCTTGATCGAAAGATATTTCTACAAAACTAATAAAAATGGTGCAGCAAATCGCTTATTGAGTGGTTCGATTGTAAATTAATCAGTTTGTCAAGGTAAAACTAATATTAAAAACGTGAATATACAAACACGGCCTAAAAAATAATAAGGAAAATGTTGAAACTTCAACATAGTATTCACACCAAACGTTGCATTATTTCCCATCTTCCATTATTATCATAAAATGGGAGTCAATAATTCGATTAAATAAATGCAAATTAAGTCAAAATAATTTAAAGAAATAATTAAAATTGTTTAAACGTTAATCGAAACTTTAGTTTTAACATAACTAAACCATGGAAAGGCACCTACTCTCTATAATAAAGCTCAGAACTCAATTTTTGATAATAAGCTATAAAAATCACGATTATCATATTTGGCGAGTTGTCATGTCGTGGGTCATTGTGGAGCTATTAAATCAAAAATAATGAAATGGCTATCAATTACCAATAAAAACATTAATATAAAGAATGTATGTAGGTGTAATAAAATATTTCCTAAAAGTTATGTAGCATCTGAAACTAAAAATAAACGAAAACATACATAAATATCTGAAACATTTCGAAACAAATTTAAGCTAAAAGACTCAATATTGCAATAATAAATCAATTAGCTCACAAATTAAAATTATTAAAACTTTATTGGTCTTACTTTTAACATGACTAAACCATGACCAGACCATTCTCTCTTTAATATTAGTAGAACGCAATTTTTGTTAATAAAGTATAAAATCCGTTTTGTCATATTTGTTATTTTAAATCTATTAAACGAAGAAATGATGAAATGATGAAATGGAAAAAACATTAAATGAACAAACTATGTACGTGTGTAATAGAATATTGTTCAAAACCTGTAGGAACTGAAACTGAAAAGAATCACATACAAAATTGAAAACCTCATTCAAAAAACCTTAAACAATTAAGGACAGATCTAAGCTGAAACCTTAATCTCGCCAATCAGCTCCACAAATAAGTTAAAAATTGGAAAAAAATGAAAGTTCTTAAAGATCTTACCTCCAGCTCTTAAAGTTGCAATAGGCTGATGTTTGGTGGCATGATTCATTCCATACTTGATTGGTTTGAAATGGAAAAATGAAGGAGAGTATCCGGATCCCGCTCTGCTCAGTGAACTAAATCGATCCTCCCTGTCTTCGATGTAAACTCCTTCTTTGCCCATAGCGGCAAGTTGCCTGCCCTTGGGCATGAACATGATAAGAAATACCATGATTGACATGATCACGATTCCGAAAGCTATACAAGCGTCTCTATGTCTTTCGCTTACCACTAGGCCACTAATAGTCCATATTAACCACATTGGTATGCTGCAACCTACCGAAAGTCCAATGTAGGTGGCTTCCCGATAATTGTCTCTGATTCCTCGCGATTTTACTGCCAAAACCGTCACGAAAATGATGAGAAAGATCACATAAATCAAGGAAAGTAACATGTCCGTGTATGGTGTACGGCATAATGGGATCACTTGCGTAGAAGAAATGTCAGCCGCCGTTACTAATAGTCTATTTCTATTTGGATGGATAACTCGATCCACTGTAACAGCATCAACTAGTGGAGGGCTAGTTAATAGCCACTGAACTCCTATGGCCACCTGAATAAGAATTGCAAAAAGCAGTAGAAGTCCTTGATAGGGTGCTGGTAAATAGACACCCCCATTAAGACTAATGAGAAATACACATTTAACTAAAAGTGAAGCGAAAACTATGGCATAGGCCACCCCTGTGCCAAATCGCATTAGCGCACAGGTAAATTGTGTTGGGGATGCTGCAAATACAGAAGCTAATCCGGCACAAGAAAAAAGTCCCAGTAGCAACATCTGTCCCAAGAAAAGATGCCTTCGACTAGGCGTCGTTCGCCATGCTTTGCACAATACAAATATTTCGAACCCAACTATTAGCACCATGGTAATGGCTGAAAGAGCCAAAACAGGCACTACCCAGACTTCGTTCCTAAACACCCCCGCAATTCTTTCAGTTTCTCCCACAGTCACTGTGTTCTGGGGTTTTGATTGGGAAGTTGAAGTTGAAGGTGTGCTGCTTGAAGGAACTAGGAAAAATTCTGTACTCATTTCTAACCGTCTCTTTAAAGCCATGGCATCTTCATCGGCATCATCAAAGGTGATTTCAGGCGTCCCAGAACCCACTAACCTACCTTGCTGGACAAGGTCAGTTTTCTCTTGATCTACCATAGACGGTGGACTAGCATTTTCCTTAAAGGGTAGCTTGAACCGCAAGTTCTGCAAAAACCAGCGATCAACATCGTCTGCTAATTGTGCACCTGCACCCGCATTCTCTGCCGACTCAAAGTTATTCCCACTGAAATTATTATTGCCAAATCTCGGCTCTGCATCTCTTGGGATTTTCACTGAACTAGCATAGACGAGAAGTGGCTCTTGGACATTTTCCGAAAATTGCAAAGGCCCAGCATTGTGAGCAGCCCTTTGAGGCTCTAAGTTCAATTTGCCAATGTCCGATTCTTCACCAACACTATCCCGTTCATCGACAAAAAAATCACTTTCATGGACATCTGTTATCAAAGGAGGCCCTCGATCTAGATCACCGGAACGTGCTTGTCGATCTTCCGCAGTCAGTGAAAGGACAACGCATGTCGCGATTGCCGCGAGTTGGATGACGGCTCGAGCCATACTGCTTGGTTGAAGCTGGTCTGCTGAAGAGATACCGCGCTGAAGAGCCGTACCTTTGATGGTACTCGTGAATTTTTGGCGGGCATTTTTTGTACATTCGGCTTTTCGCCGAATTTCAAACGAAACTTCGCTGTTTCTTGTTTCGGCAACGACATGTTTTAAACTTTAATTAAAATGGATTCTTGCATGAAAAAAGCTCAAATGGGTTTACAGTTTGCTCTTATTAAAATTCATAATTAATCTGGTGTGAACCAAAAGACCAGAAGCGAACCCGATGTAGAAGGTTAAAAAAAACACATGTTTAAATCCGCAGCACTAAACAGTCGAGTTATTTCCAGTATGTATGACATCTAAAATAATTACTACTGTTTAAAGCAAATGGCTTAATTTGTTTTATCGAGTGCTGCCAAATGGAGTTTCAACTGTATGTTATCAGGCAGATCTCTACTTTTCTTTCCGTTGTTTTGTTGTTCTCGATCGTTTTGATTGATGAGTTTGCTATTCCCTTTTTTGCTGCCTTGTTTAAACTTCCGGTTTTAGTTCTCCCTTTTCAGAATTTAGGTTTTATGGTCCATACCATTCAGATATATATTGTCGACATTTTTTCCTCAATTCACTTTAGGAGACTTATCACGCTAAAACATCCAGGAAAACGTCGCAAATGAAGCATACGGAAACTTTTTAATTAGTGCTCGAGAATGTGTGAATAATAATAACTTCTCAAAATTATCCAAAAACGTTTAGCTTGCAATATCCGAAGTACTACAAAAGACGATCAAAAATTTTTGGGTCCTTGAGTTTTTTTTGTATGTCGTTTCGTTTTCGAGAAAACCATCAAACACAAACTTCGATATTCCTTTCGACACCAAACAAGCTTAAAAAACGTGTAAAACTTAAAATAAAACAACTCTTAATTTTAGTTGCTTCTTAACAAGGGTAATAATGTGGAGATAATTAAATTTAATAAATAGAATAAATACTTTAGCATATTGTCATTTTATTATTTATGCTTTGTCATATTTTGTATACTTTCCACATAAAACATTGTAGTTCAAGGCAGTGAGCCCGGTATGGGTCGATAGCTCTTTTGTATAACACATAAAAATTATTTTACTACTAGTACTTTACATTATCTTCTCGCAAAGAGATTTAAAACCGTCGTAAGGTGTATAGTAGCAGAAAAATCGTCGTAGTTTTTATACAAAAGTGTTTCGAATTTCCTTGAAAAAAATTATATATTATACAAAATCAAATCATTGTAGAAAAGTTTTAATATAATTACAAGAGAACACTTTGGCAAAATCGACGAATTAAAACCACCAGTTAATTGCGGTTTTTATTTAAGTATTTTTGTAGTATCTACTTAAAACAGTTCTTCGGTATTCTTAGGAACGATATACCGTCCTGTACAAGACGAAAATTTAATGGAAATTAAACTATAACGGAAATTCGAAAACCCTATTCATGCCGTTTAGAAGATTCGCTTCTATTTATTTTATTTTAGTAATTTAGTAATTTATTGACCAGAGTAATACAATAGTATTACATATTCACTTTTTTTATTTTTTTGTTACTTTTTTCATTTAATACAAATTGACTTTTAAATTTCAAACTTTAAGATATGGCGTCTGTTTTAGTAATTTATGGTGCACAGAATCCAACCTTTCGGAGTCTGCAAGTTTCGATAAAATTTCTGAAAAACATTAGAGGCAGATACATTTTCCAATACGAAAAAAAAGGCGTTTATTTTAGTGAGTCCAAAGCGACAACAGTAGATATATTAAGTTTTGCAACAAATTATTTAGTACAATTTTAAATCCTATTTTCGTTTGGTTCAGTCCTACTTGTATTCGTATGAACGATTAGACTCGAAAAAAACTAATATAAAATGTAATTAAGAAATAGATTATAAGAAATAGCAATTAAATCGCGTTTTCACTAAATTGTAAACAATTAGAAAACAACTGGGACTAAAAAATGAGTGCATTAAAATTACATTGAAAACCAAATATACCAACAAAACGATTTCATAATACTTCATTAATATACCAAGTATTAGTCAATGGAGACTCATTATTACGCTCCAGACGATCACAACCTACCATAATACTTTTGCCATAGCAAATTGAGCATACCATCTTCACCCACCTTTGTATTTAAATAAACTTTTAAACTATTACAAGTACATTAAATTGATGCCCCCATCACGAGTTTGACACAATGTAATTATTCTGCCACTAATGGAGTTATTATGGTTTCAGTTTCAGAGACGGTACTCCGCCTTTAAAATGCTAATAATCAATTAATTAAACTTTACGGGAAAAAAGGCTTCCTTATTTGAATAATGTTAGTTAATTTGAGGAAATTGGTTATAATGTAGAGCCGATCAACGAGAAATACACATTGTAGTTTTCAAGCTTTAATCGTTTTTTTGTATTGTTTGTCTTCAGGTTCATTGGCACATTGAAACGTGGGTAAATTGCAAATAAATAAGTTTCTATTAATCATATATGTAATAAATTTGATTACACTACCTATAGTAAAAAATCACACTCATGCTGTAACACACTGCAGATAATTTTTCGAAGGTCATAAATGTATGAGACTGAACATACATATGTTACTTCCGTGATTTCGAACATAAATGCCTTTTAGATTATATTAGATGAAATAATTAGGTTCATCAACCTTAAACAGTCTAATTGAGGTATTAAAAAACGAATGTTTGGTTTTTAAAAACTTTATTAAACTGACAACACAATACAATTTGTGTAACCTGTTAATTATGTGATTATGGATTAGAAGAATATCGCGTGCTCTAATTGGAATCATTGGCTTTGTTTTTTTACAGTTTCAAATTGTAAGGAACACTAATGGTTAGTCAATGTTCCATTAGAAACACTGTAACAAAGGAAGCAAATTAAAACACGTGAACAAACTTGCTTGGAAAATTTTCAATAATTAGGGGTTAGGGAGGAGAGAAGAGCGTTTGTTTTTTGGTTTTTTTCCTCGTTAACGTCAAATGAATAAAATATCTAATAAAAATCTCATTTGACCAGAACTTCTGATTTCCTGATGATCTTTAAGACGATATTCTTCGGGCATCACTCGCTTTTTAAAAAACTACTCAACTTCTTTAAAGCAACTCAACTAGATTCTGGTTATTAAATATAGGAAGTGAAACTGGTCTTTTGAAACGAGAAAATAACGGAAGCTTTGGTGGATTTTTGCAAACCCCTGTTCGGTATAAATAAGAATGAACAACCCGATTCTCACAATGTTATCGACATGGTTTGGACGTAATTTCTGAAAACATCCGGTGAAAAAAATTCTACCCTAAAATAAACAGGTCAATCGCCAAAAAGTGGACTTGACTTCGCTTTCATAGAACATGTTTGGTAAAAAAATTATCAGAAACCTTACGAGACCATTCAAGCAAGAAAATATGTCATGAACATGATAACAAGAAAATAAATTAAACAGGTACTTAGAGTAGAAAAAACTTTACAATTATCCAAATGCACATAGAAATCAATCAGAAATGCAAGTCGCTAATTAATAGTCAACGTGCCAATCGCAGACCTCATCTAAACCCTTTATATCTACCGAAAGAAAGTAGATCGATAAAGAATCATAAAAAACGTTTATAATCAAAATAGAACAACTGACAAGAGAAAAATTAACTTACATTGTAATACTAAAATACTTAGCGGCACTTAAGAACATTTGCAATGCATTGAACTGTAACATTACAATTAACAAAAGATCCAAGTGATCCAAACAGTTATCTGAAATATACATAAGTGTGAATATACCTCTCGAACAAACACCTAATTGCACTTAAATGCAAGTGTCAATGCATCTTTAAGTAATTGCTTTATTAATACGGTTAAATTCAATACTTACTTAGAATAACACTTGTAGACTCTACTAAATGAATAATTAAATATTAATCCACATGTATCCACATTATTTAGTATGGATAGTTACAAGTAAATCCCATTAGGTCTCTTAATAGGTGAACTTTCCAAACACATAAAAGTGTTTTGATTGCTCCATTTGGAATAGCGCTGGGTTTGAAGATCAATAAAAAAATTATTTTTAAAATGTTATTGGAGGCCAAAACATCTGGCAACCAAGTTTCGGATATAAACTAAAGTGGTTTTGATTAGTTTTATATCATTTGTGTGGATTTTCAATTGGGAACCGTTTATCGTCTAACAGATCACACATATTCATATCCGTTTCGCTGGTTTTTGAAAGTCGCAAACATTTTTTGATATTTTCAATCAGCAGCCAAACAGTAGGTGTTAATTCTGCACATTTCGCAGCGCTTGTGTCTTCAATTCCACCATAGATTATAGCAAAAACCGGCGTTATAGAGTTGATGAGTATCCGTTACAATCTTCTTACTGGGGATTATAAGATATATATTTACACATAGAAAACCTGTTAAAGTATGCATTAAATGGCAAATCGACTGAAACGATACCAATATTTATTACGCCTTATGGTAACCAGATGTGCGCAAAGACATATTATACTTTTGCAACAACAATAAATATTTTTTAGTAGTTGGTAGTTTCAATGCTTTATGGCAGTTTGATAAGCTGCTTTAACTGCATTGGACAATGTGGTAGCATAGTAGGGGGCACATAATTTTCTAAATCCTGAAGAAGCTCAGAATGCTCAGTAATAATAATAATAAATTTCAAATAGGAATGTTTTGCAAGTTTCTAGTTTGTGAGAAAAATCTGAGAACTTGTTGCGGTTCCTCATATTAATCGTCAAACCATTACAAGATTTTCCACCAAATATTTTTCCTTGGTGTCCATTAATCCGAATATAATTTAATCGATTTTACCCATAACTTACAAACACGCAAGTTTTTTTCTTGTTCATTCAATTAGTTTCGCTCACGCAGTAAATCTAACAGCATTTCTGTCAAAGGCCAGCCAGCCAGCCAGCAACTTCACACTACATTGATCAATTTCATTTTCTCGTTCGATGTCCCTTTAT